CGCGCGCTGGGCCTAGGAAAGGGGCGGTGCCCGGCCTGCCCGGTGGGCGTGCCGCGGGCTCATTTGCATGGGGCCGGCCTAGAGGCGGCTGCCGGCTGGGCAGTGCCTGGCGGACGTCCCAGGCCAGAGCTCAGCGCAGCGCAACGCAGCCCAGCAGCAATTAGAACGCGCGGTGCCCGGCGGAGCAGCAGCAGCAGCCCGAGACCCGGAGCCGCCGCCGCCGCTATGTCCGACCGGGAGCGCGACTGGAGCCTGAGCTTCGTGGGCTGCGGCATGCTGGTCTTCTACCATCTCGGGGTGACCTACTGCCTGTACGAGCGCGCCCCGCGTCTCCTCCGCGACGTCCGCACCTTCTGTGGGTCCTCGTCTGGAGCGCTGCACTGCGCCTTATTCCTCGCTGGGTTCTCGCTGGGTGAGGCCCGTACGCATCCCGGGGCTCCCCCACACACTGGGTGCTCACGGCCAGGGCAGCGCCAGAGGGGCCTCTTTGGGGCATTGTCCCCTCTCCCCCCGGAGCGCTCAGGGCTGGAGCAGAGGCCTCCAGGGTGCGGGACACCAGCTCACCCTGGGCCCTAGACGTGAAGGGGTGACAGGAGACCCCTGTCACCCACTCTCAGCAGCATTGTGTCGTAGTAGTTAAGAGTGGGGCGGCTAACCCTTGTCAGCAATTTGAAACCACTAGCGGCTCCGCGGGAGAAAGAGGAGGCTTTCTACTCCAATGAAGAGTTCTAGTCTTAGAAACCCAAAAGGGCAGATGAGCCCTGTCCCCGCATCCTACAGAGTTGCTGTGCGTCAGCATTGACTCGATGCCAGGACTCTAGGCTTTGGTCTCCCTCCCTGGGCCAGCGCCAGGGGTCTTCTTGCAACGGGAGGAGAAAGCTGCTCTCGCCAGTGGCATCAGGTAGATGCCCCATCCCACCTGGAGGGGGCCTTGGCCCTGGTTACTGACAGCGCTGGCCTGGCCCCTGCAGGTGGCTGCCTTCCAGAGCAGACTTAAGATACCAGGTCTCCATCACCCCCTGGGTGTTTTGTGTGTGTTGGCATGGGTGCGTGTGTGCAAGTTGTCTTCCTTTGGGGGGATCCTATTCCTCTAGCATGGGGGACATCCCCCGATGTGTCTTCCAGTGTCCCTGAGCAGGGGCTGCAGTCCCCTCCTGTCATAGTGACAATGACAGGGCAGTCCTGCAGGGGGCTAGCTTTGTGCACCCTGGGCTGGCACGTGGACAAGGTAGCCTCTTTGGAGGCCCAGTAAGCCCTTGTGCCAGATCCTGGTGTCCTGAGCCAGGGAGCTGCCTGGGGCAAGTGAGACAGCCAGGCAGTGTGAGCACATGAGGGTCATCAGGCAGGAAGATAAGGTCCTGAATCAACTTCCTTATCAATGGACGGTCCCCTCTGCCCAGGAGTGCTGAGTGGGTTAAGAGTGATGCCAGGTCTACCAGGACACGCCATATAGCTCCTGGGGCCTAAGCTCCTCTGCCACTCGGCAGGGCTGTACCTTTGAGCAGCCGTGCCTCTGCTCAGACAGTAGCCATGCCCGTGGAAGCAGCAGCTCAGAAACCAATGATGCGCTGCATTGGGTAAATCTGTTGCACCTCTTGAAAGTGTTGAAAAGCAAGGAGGTCACTTTGAAGACTAAGGTGGCCCGGACTCAAGCCACGGTATTTGCAATCGCGTGTGAAAGTTGGACACTGAATAAGGAAGACCACAAAGGAACTGCTGTTAAAAGGGGGAACTGATCTCAATGATTGACATATAGCACCCCCCCAAGGGGAAGATGACAGAAACATGGGAGAAGGGAGACAGCGGCTGGTGTAAGATATGAAAACAATAATTTATCATTTATCAAGGGTTCACGAGGGTGGGGGTGAGGGGAGGAAAGAACATGAAAGAAAATGTTTAGAAAAGGATAAAGGCAACACATGTATAAGTGTGCTGGATGCACTTGATGTGTGGGTTGTTATAAGAGCTGTAAGAGCCCCCAGTAATATGGTCTTTAAAAAATGAAGAGGAAGAATTGCTGTTAGTGGTCATTGAGCCGGTTCCAACTCATAGTGACCCTGTGGACAACAGATAGAAACACTACCTGGTCCTGTGCCAGCCTCACGGTTGTGGTATGTAAGCTCGTTGCTTGCAATCTATGTCAACCCATCTCATCAAAGGTCCTGTGCTGTTCCTCTGTAACTGCTCTTATTTGGAGGGGCCGGGGGAGTAGAGACTACTGGCTATGTGGATGGGCCATTTGGGGCCAGAGGAAGGATTGCCTCGAGGTGTCTCATCAGGGTCCATGGGTTTGTGTATTTCTGTCTCTGGGGTGGTTCATGAGTTTGTATATTTATATCCCGCCCCTAGACCAAATCGCTGAGTTCTATATGCGCCTGGCCAAAATGATCAGAAAACACAACTTTGGGATCTTGAGCCCGTTCATCAACGTGACCAACTACATCCACACCTGCCTCCAGAAAGAGCTCCCCGCCAACATCCACCAGATGGTCTCTGGCAGACTGTGCATCTCGATGACCAGGGTGTCTGATGGCAAGAACGTGCTGGTGTCTCATTTTCAGTCTCGAGAGGAAGTGATCGATGTAAGGCCCTCCCCCACCCACGTGTGGCCCTGCCTGGCCTTGAAAGCCACACCAAGGAGCCAACCTGCCCCGCCTGTGACAATGCACCAGGCCAGGTATTGGGGTGCTGGTTGGCCTGCAGCTGAGCGTCATGGACTCCGTATGTGTAAGGTGGGACAGTTAGTTGACAGCAGCCACAGCTCCCAAAGCCTCCATGGCCTCACTCCTGCATCTTCCCTATGTGTCATTGTGCACAGCCCCACTAGGACGCAGCCATGGCTAGGACCTGCTTCAGCAGGGTCCTACAATCTCAAAATGCCATTGGTCAAGGTGTCCCAAGGCTGTCCTTGCCAACGACCACCACCAGGGGGTGCTAGACAGAATTCATCTCACAGCCACTGAGTGGAGGGGGACTCATAGCTACCCTATAGGGTAGAGCTGCCCCCTTTGAGTTTCCAAGATTAGAACTCATTATGGGAGTAGAAAGCCATGTCTTTCTGCTGAGGAGTGGCTGGGGGGTTTTGAACGCCGATTTTTGTGGTTCACAGCCCAACATGTAACCACTATGCCACCAGGGCTCCTTCTGCAATCATACTTCCCAATCATTATGTCTATCATATATCAATAAGAGTAGGTGGAAAAATCAATATAACCCTAGTGTAGCCAGATCTTAAAACACAATTCTTGAAACATTCAAACCCAGTCCTTTCTTATCTAAATTATCCCATTCATATGCCCTATACCCTGAGGTTGCTAGCAGCACCAAGCCTGGCCAAGCCTTCCATTTACCATCTTTGACTATGCAGCATGGCTTTTGCCTCAGGAAAGTTCAAGAGGGTTTTTCAACCCCCTTGAGCTGTGACTTATTATCCATTACATTCATTTGCTCCATTTCCAGTAGGAATAGCCAAAGACCGTGTCTGAGAATCCAAAATGTTGCTCCCAGTGGCCCTTTCCGAGAACAGCTGAGTACATCGCACGCCCTGTCTGGCCTCTGACACTCCAAAGCAGAAAAACCCAACTGCTGTCAGGCAGAGGTCAGACAAGCCTCCACTCTCCATGATTTGTGTCTCTAGCCTCCAACTCCCCAGACCAGAATGTTTTCGGATTAGATGTGTTTATGTCCAGAGAAACAAATCCAGTGACACTCATGTATGTGTGAGAAAGAACTCTATACCAAGAACAGAGGGTTATCATTGTGCATGGGCCCTGCTCTCTCCCCCATCTCTGTGCGGCCCTGGCACTGCCTTGCCTGCCCAGGTGGCTCTTGAGGAGCCAGAGCAGGAAGGTGCTGGGGCTAAGAGGTAAGAGTGCCTGGTGGTTTGACACAGAGTGTGCTCTGTGCAGCGAGCGCTTGAGGCCCTGTGGTCCAGCTGGCTTGGAGAAGCCCGAAGAGGGGCTCAGTCTCCAGATGGTGCAGTTGCATGGGACTGCTAACCGCAAGGTCAGCAGTTCAAAACCACTCTCTTTTGCGGGAGAAAGACAGACTGTCTACTCCCATAAAGAATTACAGCCTCAGAAACCCACAGGGGGCAGTGCTACCTTTGTCCTCTAGGGTCCCTATGAGTCAGAATAGACTCCATGATAGTGAGTTTACTACCCTGAAGGTGGAGCGTCCCCATCGCCGCCCCCTGGAGGCAACGTGGAGGAAAGGCCTGGTAATCTGAAAACTTGGAAACCGGCAGTTCTGCCCTAGGTTGGAATGGACTTGGACACAACTGGCTTGGTTTAAAACAAAAAAAACCTCTTATTATTTTTATAAACCGTTTCTTTGGGCCATAATCCAAACATTTTACAATTCAATAGTTCAATCCTATCAACAAGTGTTGTACAATTATGGCCACCATCAGTTTTAGAACATATCTTTCATTCTTGTTTTCATTTTTACTAGCTCCCCACTTCCCCCCAACCTCTCTGGCCGAACCCCCAAGGAACCTTGAATCCAGTTACTGTCTCTGTTGATCCACCCATGCTGCGTTTCATATACCAATAAACGCGTAAAGAGACAAAGCAAAGAGTCAAAACGCTAACAACATTTAAAAAGCAAACAAATATGGCACCCCAAATAACTCCCAAACTCACTGCCATTGTGTTGATGCTGGCTTTTAGTGAGCCCCCTGTGAGTTTCTGAGACGGTAACGGTGTACGGGAGTAGAAAGCCCAGTCTTTCTCCCAAGGAGCCTGTGGTGGTTTTGAACTCCCAACCCTGCGATTGCAGCCCAACTCATAACCACTACACTACCAGGACTCACGGGAGGTTTGATTTCCTTGTGTGTTCATAGGCTTTGATTTGCTCCAGCTTCATCCCTCTCTTCTTTGGCTTCATCCCCCCAACCTTCAGAGGTGAGGTGAGTGTTGCTAGTTCTGAAAAGGGGTCCGGGAGGGGTCCAGACGGGGCGAGGGCAGCATGGGAGGCTCATGGGGAGAGGTCTTGCTGAGAGGTCAGCACTGAGACACTGAACAGAGATAGGATTGAGACAAAGAACGTGAGGCTGAGAGCGGCTTTCTTAGGGTGGGGAAAGAGCTCCCGGGAGGGAAGGGAGAGCAGAGAGAGGGGCAGGAGCATCTTGAGCTCCTGGGCGGTTCTGAGACCCAACGAGTTAGGTCAGGGAAATTGCGGCTTGTGGGTGAGGCGGTGGGAGACATATAGGGCTCGAACTAGGGAAGTATACGTTGACAACAAGAAGGGAGATGTTTTATTTGCAGCTGCAGGACCTTGAGTCAGGATACGATCCGTGGGAAGTGCCTTTGTTGTTTGCCAACCTACTTCCTGGCGTGCTGGGACAGGGGCTGCACAACCTTGGTCTGGAGAGATGAGAGGAGATGGGGGCTGCCTAGTCCAGACCTGGCCAAACACTTGCTTTCCTTGTGGGAGGTCCCCCTGCTCAGTTCCCAGCTAGCACTCCTGTGCAGCACCCACTCGTCTGTCCGAGGAGGTGTGTGTGTTGTGAAGCTGAACAGCTTTCTGTTGTGTTTCCTCGCTAAGACGAGGAAGAAAGGCCTGGTGATCCCCGCCCCCCTCCAGAAAAAAATCAGACCCTCAAAACTCTACAGTCCAATCCCACTAGGGGCGGGGGGAAGCCTTTACATTAGCATTGCTCTCTGCCATCGAGTTAGGTTTAACTCATAGCGGCCGGAGGCATTAGTTGTCATCTACAAAAACCATATATGTAGTATTAAATTAAAAGATGGTAGCTGGGGGGTGAAGGGCCAGCCCCCACCTGCTGCTACTAATATTACTACTACTCGGGTTCAGTACTGCACAATTGTACGGTTGAGATATATAACCATTATATTAAAGTCATTGAGAGCATGAGAGATAATACAATAATACAATCAGGCATATTACATAGTACCATTGCTCACCTCAGCCCAGCTTGGTGGTCCATGTGGAGAGAGGGGGAAGGGAAGGAGGGGAAGGGAACAAGGGAGAGGGGAGTGACCAGGGAGTGAGCAGCAAGGAGCTCAGAGTCAGAGAGAGAGATCTATATTGCTGGCTCACACCTATATACCTTTTGGGGGCATGCCAGCCCACTAATTACAGGTAGAGACATACATCACAGGGAGGAGTTGCACTATAGGTTACACAGCAATGAGAGGGTGGTCTAAGGGGTGGTCTCTGGGTCTCCATAGGAACATTATCATAGGGTGAAAACTCCTCCTACAGGAGCCTGTCCATTGTCCCCAGAGGCAGGGAGCAGGCCCACCCCTGTGGAGGGATGAGACAGCAGTCTGGCAACTGATTGCCCTCAGTGGGGGAATGCCTGCGCATCTGACCTCCCCCCACACATATATGCCAGCGAAGCAGCTGAATTCTTTTCTAAGCTCTGCCCTGCAAGTCCTCCCTGGTGGAGGATGACACCCCACCCTTTGTGGGCATCCTGACAGCTGGTGGCAGTGACTGGCTCCCCAAGCCATCCTCACTGCCAGTACCACAGGTGGAACCCTGTCCAAATGCAGCAAGGCCGGTTGGTGCTTGGTCTTGGTTAGGTGCTGTCAGGCTGAACCCATAGCGACCCTGTGAACGACAAATGGACACACCCTCCCTCGGTTCTGACCATCCTCACAATTGTCCTACGTTTGCAGCCACTGTGTCCATCCATCTCTTTGCCACTTCTCCGGGGACTGGTTTCTCCTGATGGCATGGCCACAGTAGGGTGAGCAGAAGGCCCGCCATCTTGGCTGCTAAGACAGACTCTAGCTGGGCTTCTTCCCAAACAGATATGCTCGTCCTTCTGGCAGTCCGGGGATGGTCACTCTCCTCCACGGCAGCCTGTCCGCGTACGATGCTGTTTGCTGCCCAAGTGCCCTGACGCACAGCAACCCTGCGCACAGCAGGGCGAAACGCTGCCTGCGGCCCCGCACCATCCTCACCAAGGTGCTGACGTTTGAGCCCGGGGTGGCAGCCCCCGTGGCCTGCTGCCATCAAGGTGGTTTTGATTCCGATGGAGGAGAGATACTCCTCTTCAGAATTGCCTCTCTCCATGCCACTTGGATGTAGGACAGGAGGCCATCTGCAGGCCATCTGGGCATAGGTCCACCACTTGAAGGCTCACAAGAGGTAGAGACAGACTACTGGAGGTCAAGCATCCTGCCCAAGATTCCCTCCCCCGCACGCCCCCAACCAGCATGGGTCTGGATGTGAGACCAGGAACAATGGTGCCCATCAGGCCAAGGGTGGGGCTGTGTCCTCTCTATGCCTGGGCTAATGTGAGGCTTTTATGCAGAAGTCAAAAGGCACCCTGTAAGTGCCTGGGTGGGCTCCAGGCTTGGCTGGCAGAACCCAGACTGGACTCCGGAGTGCCCGTGCCTTGCAGGGTACACAGAACACCCAGCAGGGCAGCGTGAGCCCAAAGGCCACCCTCCCGTGAGCAGGTCAGCCCACTATGGGCTCAGAGGCCTCCGCTCCCAGCTGCTGACCGGATGTGTCCTCCTTTCCTGCCTTCCAAGCGCTACGTGGACGGGGTGCTGAGTAACAACGTACCCTGCCTGGATCCCCGGACGACTATCACCGTGTCCCCCTTCTACGGGGAGCATGACATCTGCCCCAGAATCCAGTCCACCAACTTCCTGCAGGTGGAGTTGTCCAGGCTCAACATGCAAGTCAGCCTGGGGAACGCCTACCTCACTGTCAGGACCTTCTTCTCCACCCCCCTCAAGGTGAGGGTGCTTGTGACACTCTCTGCCCCGCTTGCCCCCTCTCTCCTTCCTCTCCCCACCACCCTGGCCCTTTCCCTCCCCTATCCCCCCTTTCTGCCACCTCCTCCTCTCCTGTACACCCTCCCAGCCCCCTTTTTTTCTTCTCCACCTTCGCCCTCTCCCTCATCTCCCCTCCCCTTCCCTTTCTCCCCTCCTTACCGCTCCCTCTCCCCTTCTCCCCCCAACTCAGTCCCCTTTTCTTCCTGTCCACACTTGCCCCCTTCCTCCAACCCCCTCCCTGCCCTACCCACCCCTCTTCCTTCTCTCCCCCCTCTCCCCTTCTTGCTCTCTCCCAGTGGGCCCGTCCTGAAGAGGGGACACACAGCAGAGGGGTTCATTTTCAGGGGGTGCACGTGACAGAAATTGCCTCAAAGGGAACCCTGCTGCCCGCACAGCTGTGGCCGTGCCCAGGGCAAGCAACGGGCAGCTACTGGCCAAGTGTCCGAGGACAGTGGCACCTGGACAGACAGCTCTCCATGGCCAGATCTGGGGGTGGGGTGGGTGGGGGGTGTAGATCTCCAGGCCTTTCTTCCGAGGCGCCCCTGGGCAGACTCCCACCGCAGACCAGAGGGCACACTCCTCATTTGCACCCTGCCCCCGCACTCCCCACCCCAGTGGGCCCTGGACAGCTAGGCAGGGAAGACTAGAACAGACCTGAGGGGGGTGGGGAGGGTGAGGCGGATCATCCCGCCTTCTTGGGGCCCCAGAAGCTGTGGAGCCCACAAAGCGGGGCAGCCTGCTCCACAGGAATCCTCTTGGGTTTGCTCACAGGTGCTGGGGGAGCTGTGCCTTCGGGGGTACCTGGATGCCTACAGGTTTTTGGAAGAGAACGGTGAGTTCCCTGGGGGAGCGGCCAGGGCTGCTGTCTGTCTGCTGCCTGGCGAACCACCCAGCCCAGCCCACTGCCCTCCCCCAGTAGAGGGTTTCCAGATGGCCAGTCCTTCCAGGAGCAGGCAGCCTCTTTTCTCTCCTGAGGAGCGGCCGGTGGGTTTGATCGGCAGCTTTGCCTGGGCTTCCCCCATGGTCCCACCAGGACTCCTCGGCACAGCACGTAGGTTTGCCTTCTGTCTCCGTCCACCCTCCCCTTGCACAGGGCACTGGGCAGCCCTGGGAGAGAGGGAAATGGGGCCCATTTCAAGGAGGGTGAGTGCTGAGGCCCGGTGAGGGAGCTGGGACCACTCGGCCCTGGGCAGCTGGCTGTGGTGGGCCCAGGGCACCCTGCCTCCTGCCACAGTGACCTCTTATCTGGAGGCAGTGAAGCAGAGTCCCTTTTCTGCTAGCACTGCCCTGAACCTAGGGTTTCCCAAGGTCCACAGGTCAAGCAACCGGGACAGCTATCTGCAGGCAGGTGGGGGCTGGCTCTTGTCCTGGGCAGTGTCTTGTCCAGACCCTGTCCTCACTGGCTGTCTTCAACCTCTAAGCCAGTTGTTGGCGGGGCTGGCCCTGGGGTGCTGTTCCTGCATGAGAGCTGGCCTTGGTTTGGAGAGGAGGAACATGGGGCGGCATCTCAGAAGCTGAGAGACTGTCAAGTGGAGGCCCAGGGGACAGGGCACGGAGGAGTAAACCATCGCTTGGGGGTGGGGTGGGGCGAGGCGTCAGAAATTCAGACAAGGCGTGAGTGACCTTTGACTTTGAGGTAGCCGCTCTAGTGAGGAGGAAACCAGGGCTCGAGCTTTGTACCATGTCTGGGTGCAGCCGTGGGCAGCCGTCACTTCCTGTCCCCCACACTATCATCGTCAAGAAGTGCAGCCAGAGGGTCCTGAGAGGCCAGGATGGGGAGGCTTGTCTCATATACATGGGCGTGTTGTCAGGAGAGACTGTTCCCTGGAGGACACCATGCTTGGGAGAGTGGAGGGGCAGTGAAAGAGGAAAGCTCTCCACACGATGGACGGACACGGTGGCTGCCACCGTAGTCTCGGGGATAGGAACCGTTGTGAGGATGGCGCAGGACCGGGCAGTGTTTTCTTCATTCGTGCGTAGGGACGCGATGGGTTGGTACCCAGCAACAAGGGTCCCACACCACATCTAGAACATGGGTTGTATGAGCTCCCCAGGGGGGATAAACGGGGGGATCCCATGCCAACTCCGCTGGCCGCTTGCTACGTAGTGTGGCCTCTGGCTGTCCATTCCACCTCTCTGCCCCGACACCTCAATTGACACCAGGGGGCACGACAATGGCCCCTTGTCAGAAGCTGCCGTGAGCGGGACGGGAGTTCCACTTCCCCAGGCTCGGTCCTGGTACACAAACGTGAATCCTGATCCTTCAGCCTCCCGAGGCTGCTCTTGAGGCTGGAGCCCACAGCTCGTGGGTGGGCTAGGCGGGCACCGGGCCGGCCACCGCTGCGCTGCTCCACAACCTGTCCTCCTCGCCACAGCCTGCGACCAGCCCTCTGTGGTGCCTGCCTGGGCATGCTCCCCTGCTTCCCAAGGGATGAAGTCACGTTTGCCCTGCTGTCTCCACGCCCCCTCCCCCAGGCATGTGTGAGTGGCCTGGGCCTCCCCCCAGTTTAGCTTCGGGAAAGGCGGACACAGCGCCCAGCGGGGACTGCCCGGAGAGCAAGAGCCTGGACTTGAAGACCCAGTCACAGAGCAATGGGCTGGTGGAGCATCTGCGAGCCAGCATGCTGCCCTGGGACGAGAGCCTCTTGGACATCCTGTCCCCCCGTCTCATCATAGGTATCCACTCCATGGGGCAGGGAGGCACTGGGGGGCGGGCAGGTCCGGGGGGTTTCCTGGTGCCACAAACCAGAGTGCTCAAGACAACACGGCCATCGAATCGATTCCGACTCTTGAGGACCCTCGAGGGCAGAGCAGAGTGGCCCCTGTGGGTTTCGGAGCTGTCACTCTTTCAGGGGCGCAGACAGCCTCGTCTGTCTCCCAGGGAGCGGCTGGCGGTTTCTAACTGCTGACCTTGTTAGCCCAAGGTGGAACCCTCTAGATGAGACGGCTCTCCAGTTCTAGAAAGACGAGTCCAGTCTTTCCGCAGGGCCTTGCTCCCTCCGGAGGTTCTGGAAGGTCCTTCGTTGTCTCTCCCAGCCTCTGGTGACTCCGGGCCTTCCTTGGCTTGTGGTTGCATCTCTCCAGTCTCTGCCTCCGCCTTCCCATGGCCCTCTTGCCTCTGTCTCTGTGTCTGCTTCTGTAAGGACACCACTCACATGAGATGAAGAAGCACCCCCCAGCCCCATCCTATAACCTCATGCAGACAGAATGATTCATCCCCTCTGCAGACAGGAAGGAGTCGCTGGGTGAAGGGATACACTGGGCCGCTAACCACAGTTTGAAGGGTCAAGCCCACCCACCGGCGGGGTCTCAGAAGACCTGGCCACCTGCTGCCCCCGAATCAACCTGTGGCATGCAGTCCGCTCAGGCGCCAGGCTGCTGGCTGCAGTGGGGTTTATTTGCCAGAGAAGTTTGCAGACTCCTCCCGAGATAGTGTTTGGCTGGAAGGACAGTTGCTCATGGGAAGCCCTGAGAGCTGCCCTGGGGTTCCGACAGGCTGGCCCCCACTGGGCCTGCAAAAAGGGGACAAGGACAGTTGCTCATGGGAAGCCCTGAGAGCTGCCCTGGGGGTCCGGCAGGCTGGCCCCCACTGGGCCTGCAAAAAGGGGACACTCCCTGCCGTCGAGTCCATAGCAACTCATCATAACCCTGCAGGACGGGGCAGAAGTCCATCTTACTTTCTACAAGCAGCTGGTGGTTTCAAACCACTGACCTTGTGGCGAACAGCTCAATGAGTAACCGCTAGGCCACCAGGGCACCTGGATTCGGTCACCCCCCGGGTCTGGCCTGTATCCCTCCTGGAGGAAGGGCTACCGTGTGCAGCCAGTGGTTGGTTCTGTTTTTCAGTCCTGGAAGAAATCATAAACAGGCCCCTGGACATCCTGAGCAGAATCCACAACTCCCTGCCGGTCAGGATCCTGTCCTACGTGACGATGCCCTGTGTCCTGCCCTTTCAGTTCTCCATCGCCATGATCCAGAGGTGAGCCCTCGACACCCGAGTCATGGGCGGGGGTCCTGCGGTCCCCCACACCCCACTCCCCGTCTTCATGCCTGTACCTGTAACTAGGAGCAAGCCGGTGGCCCCGAGAGCAGGCAGCAGTCACCCACCGAGGCTGCTCCAGCCCCCCCATTGTCACACGGGGACATGGAGGCCCAGAGAGGTTTCGGGGACAGGGGCGGGGTGTCCCAGGCCTTGGCAGTGGCCCAGCCAGGTTTCTTCTCTTTCTTTCTTGTTTGTTTGCGGGGGAGCGAAGCGGTTTGAGACGGACTTGGAGTCTTCCAGGTTTGTGTTCCTCCTCATTAGGGTGTTTTCAGCCACTCGGGTTACTGCTTAGGTGGAAGGATAAAGAATCTAGAGGGTGTTTTGGTTTTGTTCTGTTTTTATTGTTTATTGAAACACACTGTATATGTGTGTACATGTGTACATGAAATCAACAACAATAGTCTGTGAAACCCTCCAGATAATGGTTCTCTTTCTCCCCTTGCCCCAACCCCATCCTCCCTCCTTCCCTCCCCAGTGGCTACCCCACCCCTCCCTGCCCCTGAGCTCCTCGTAGTCATCAAAGGCTTCTCTTTCGGTCTTTTTTTTTTTTAATAAAGTTTCTTTTTCTGAGCCATTTGATGGATGGCCAAGTCTTCCCACAGATCCCCTCAAGCCTGGCTGGTGGGTGGGCCCCAGCTCAGCGCGACCTCCTAGCGTTTCCAGGGTGGTCGGTCTTCATGGGCGCAGACTGCTACATCTTCCTCCTGCCTAACACGCGGTGCATAGGCTCAAACCACCGGCCTGTGGTGAAGCAGCCAAGACTGTTGACCACTGGAACACGAAACCTCCTTTTCTGAGTCACGGGCCCACTCTTCCTAACAGCTTGTCTCCCTGTACCCCATGGGCTGCAGTGGGGCGAGCCACTGGTGGATAAGAATGGATATTGGTAGGGGATTACTGGACAGAGGCTTACTTTGCTCTTGTGGTTCTGACAAACACATAATGTCATGTGTACACTGTGACAGTGTCTTGGAGAATGGCTTCGTTGTCCCCCAAAATGCCACCCCCCCCAAATTAAAAACAACAACAACAACAAAACCCCCTACAAACTTGCTGCCATGCTGCCAAATCTGACAGGGCAGAGCCGCCCTGTGGGTTTCCAAGACTGTCACTCTGTGTGGGAGTAGAAAGCCTCGTCTTTCTCCCGAGGAGCGGCTGGTGGTCTCCAACTGCCGACCTCGAGGTTAGCCGCTCCCTGCGTTACCCAGCCCTCCATCAGGTGCAGCGGCTTCAGCTTTGGGCTGCTAACTTCAAGATGGGCACTTCTAGCCAGGCAGCTCCTCCCGCGGGACAAGGATGTACTTACTGTCTGCCTCCTTAAAGACGTCCCGCTTGGAAGCCCTAAGGAGCCACTCTTTTCTGCCCTCGAGGTTTCAATGAGTCCAGTCATCCATGGGCCTCTGGGTTTCTTCCCCCGGGCCCCAGGCAACCTCTGATGTTTTCCCTGTCTCCTTTCCGTGGACTTTTCCAGAGAGCCATGGAATTGGACTCTTTCTCTTAGCAATGACCAAAGCAAGCCCACTGCCGTGGGATCGATTCCCACTCATTGTGACCACAGTTAAGAGTTTCTGAGACTGTCCATCTTGACAGGGGCAGACAGCCTCATCTTTCTCCAGCCGCTTCACTGGAGGGTTTGAACTTCCGACCTTGTGATTAGCAGCCCACCTCCGACCACACTTAGCGCTCTGTGTCTGCAGCTTCCCTGTCTCCTGGTGAACCCGTCTGACCAGAAGAAAGCAGCCTCACAGCCAGAGTCAATTCCATCTCACAGTCATCGGAGCCTCAACCCAACTGTAGGTTTCTAAGACTCACTGTTTTCCTGAAGTAGGAAGCCTCCTCTTTCTCCCACGGAGCAGCTGGTGTTCTCAAACTGCTGACCTTGTGGTCGGCAGCCCCAGGAGAAACCACGACGTCACCAGAGCCCCTGTGGCCCAGTCGCTTAAAGTAGAGGGGCAGCGAGCAAGAAGGCCCTGGACAAGATGGAC